GCTGCAGTGTAACATCTGACTTCTAAACAAACCTGCTTCATCTACCTCCAATCTCCACATGCCGCTGCCTGCCCTTTGTGATTTGAATGCCATTCAGAAACTGTTTTTTCAGGTGAACTTTCAATATTTACACATTTTATTAGATGCTTTGGTTTGGTATTTTGGAGTTATGTTTTTGCTGGCATTTGCTGGTTTGCTTGTTTGTTAACAGCATAACTTTTTTGGAGAGGTTGAGTATGGCCCGCGGAGCAGTTGATTAGATTTTGGTGTATTTTGGTAGTTTTTCTCGGTATCGTCTCTGGTTAGAGGAGAGAGGGGCTGTGTTCTTCTCTCTCTCACACACAGTTTAGCAGAGGGAGAGCAGTGGACATGAAGGATCACAACACTGCAACAATCAGCCAGTGACAGACTATATGAACAGTTTATCAAACAGCTGTTGAACAAACAAGAGACAAACTTGCAGAAATGTGACGTCTTCACCACTTTGCCTGTGGTCCGCTCACCGAAGTCCCTGTTTTACCCGTAAACCAACGACTGAATGTCTGTCATGTATTGTTTTTCTTCAATAACTTTCAAACTAATACATATATCAGCATCATTCCAAATGCCAGCAGTAGGTTTTCATGGTCAAGAGGTCATATTATAAGGGTCAAACTACATCTCTCTGCAATCTCTTGGACACTGATGGTTTGAAATGACATTTGCCAGTGCGTGCTTTCTCATTTATATTTATATTTATGATTTCAAAGTTCAAAAATCCAATAAAAAACCTCTGCAATCATATTAATTGTTATGATTTTTTTTTTTGTTATATTCACCAACCAATGTTTTATATGCTTGAAAGAATAAATCAAATCAAATCAAATCAAATGTTCAGTACTTACTGTACCTTTAAGACCAGACCAGATAGTAAAAAGGCACAAACCAGTCAGTCTGGTCTTGATTTTGCTATAATGTTTGCAAGCTTTGATGATTAATATGCTTTGCAGAACCCTAGATAAATAAACGAAGCCACTGAGATCTAAAAACATAGCTCGTGTTCCCATCTGTTGCTTTTATCAGCACGTCATCAGCGCAAGCAGGCACTAGGCAGGCTGACACTCGATTGGTCACCAGCTTTTATCTCAATTTCGTACTTCCCTGAGAGCAAACGTTAACAGAGGCTTGTAGATAAATGACATTACAGCTCCATTTCTCTTTAGGAGATCTCACAGTGATACTGCTGTTGCTGTGCACTGTGGTGCTCTGTGTGCTCTCAAAAAAGAGCAGGTCATACCACAATTTCTGGCTTAATACTGCGGCTCTTAGGTCAACTCAGCTTTGCATTTTGTGTTTGTTTGTGTGGAAGGTTCCTGATGTCAGTGTTTTTGCTGCATCAGTCAATGTAAACATAACCTTTCTAGCCTGTTGCTGCTGTTGTCTTGCCCCATAATAATCAGTCTCTCCCCCAATCAATGGGCCAAGATTTTTCTCCTGTTGGCAGTTTGTTCATGGCTGTCAGAGGAGACATGAAAATTGTATAAATTCTCAACTTGGATAGATTTTCTTTGTTCTAATGTAACCTATGGATGGGTGCATACTCTTACACACACACAAGGAAGAGACACGCACAGGGTTCTGTGAAGAGGAAGTGAGTTTGATGTGGTGGAATCAATGGACACTATTCATTGCCAAGATGCATTAGATTCGCCTCTCACTGCCTCTTGAAAGAGCCAAGACTTTCTCTCCCTGACTGCAGTCAGACCGCTACAAAGCAACATGTTCGCTCTCATACTGGAAAATGAGTTGTTTTATTTGTCAGCTAAAACTACACCCAAACTAATTGCATAACATTTCTTTGTAATTCACCTCACAATAACTGCTGGGATAGGCTATTGTTGCCAGTTTGGTTTTCTTAATATGAGGTCACAGAGCTGATTCCCAAAGGAGTCGTTCATTCTAAAAATATGTGCGCTCATGGCGCTGTAAACACTTTAACTTTAACTGTTTGCCAAAGGCAAAACAGCACAGTTTGTTGCTTTCTGTGCAGTGGTGCTTTGTAATATATTGTTAAAGTTTGGGGTCGTTGGAACAGCTTATCATACTATAACTACACACAAGCTGAATGCCCACCTCTGATTTTCTCTTTTTTTAACACAGCCTTGATGGTCCTTAAAATTCTAGATAAATTCAGTTCTCATGAAGGAATGACAAGAACCTATGTGATTTCAAAATGCCAGTTGAACGTGTCATCATAATTCTAACAATAAAACAAACATTACCATGGTTCAAAGCAGAAAATTTAACCCATGGTGATGCCTGTTGCCATGATGAACGCATCAGACAAAGTGTGTCACATCTTTACTGATTTTTCTGCCTTGAACACTTGGAAAAGCTTTAGGTACACTACAGTAATTGTACACCCAATGCTACCAAACTGACTTGAATGTTATACGTTCTCCTCCGTTATAACTAGTAGCAGCAGAAGTATTAGAGTTGGGTATCACAACACCTTGGCTTAGTAAACCCAAAGGATCTGTGCAGCCAAAACCATCTTTGACAAAAAATGATTACTTTTTTGTAAATACAGTTTGAACTGCTATCAAGAACAGCATACTCTTCCAGATTTATGCCATTAACAAGACCCCTTCGGTCTTTGGACTCATCAGTGGCAGCGAGAGCAGACAGCGCTCCAGGTTAGTGACATGGCAGTTTACAGAGAGCTATAAACTGGGCTCATGCAGCCTCATACAAGCATCTCCCCTCGGGGCTAGCATTGTCCAGTTGGGACAATAGGTTTGATCCAGTTGATAGACATCTCTTTGAAAATATATTACCTTTCAACTAAACATGTTTTCACTAGCACACAGTATGTTTTTATTAACATATGGTGTGCATGACAAAGCTATCTAGATGTAAGGTCATTTTTTTATTATTCAAGAGCATTTCTAAGTTCTGGGAATCAAACTGTAAGTGCTTGACATCATAATTATCTTACAGTGTTAAGTAGACACAGCTACATACAGTATGTTCTCATTAAGATCAAATATAAATAGTTGTTTTTTTAAGCAGGGAAACATATTAAATTGTTTTGCCCATGGACAGTTTACAGTCCAAATCTTCAAATACCAGACATGCTAATCTAGGCTTCCTGTCTTTCATGCCTCTTATCTGTTGATGAAGTAGCCTACTGTGAAAGTATAATCACATGGGGCAAGAACATTTTTAGACTACAAAAAAGTTCAAATCTTGTACTTCTAAATATTGTAGCAGCCCATACGTAATACTGTTCAGCCATTCATTTTCTACCGCTTAGTCCCTGAACGGGGTCACGGGGCCGGAGCCAATCCTGGCCGGCAATCGGGTGAAGGCGGGGTACACCCTGGACAGGTCGCCAATCCATCGCAGGGCTAACACATAGACAAACAACCACACACGCACTCCTATGGGCAATTTAGAGACACCAATCAACCTAAGCTGCATGCCTTTGGACTGTGGGAGGAAGCCGGAGTACCCGGAGAGAACCCACGCAACACGGGGAGAACATGCAAACTCCACACAGAAAGGTCCCGGGTGGGGCCCGAACCTGGAACCTTCTCGCTGTGAGGCAACGGCGCTAACCACTGTGCCACTGTGCTGCCCCCACTGTTCAGCCATCCAAAGATTAATTATTAAGCCTTGTCACATGTGATTACTGTTGCTATTGTGTGTCACATTTTAGTAACCAGAGTGTCTGAAAAAATCACTCTTTCTGTTAATGTTGGCTCGAGCTCCCCAAATCCAATAAAAAGTAACAGAAAGCTGCTAACATTTGATTTCACTGCTCCAGACAGTGATGCAGTGGATCGTGAGCAATCAATACAATCATGGAACGTACAACCTTGAAGGGTTCTATCCAACAGTGTGACAATACACTTAGCTCACGAGAAGAGACGATACACAATTATCATAATAAACAAAGGTGGTAGAATTGGTGCTAAGGTACAGTAGACTATGTTAGCAGCATGGCTAACCAAAACAAAGGAAACTCAGGAAACGTGAATGAAGCCACATGTCGACTCGACACAGTGTGGCCATATTGCATTGCCCCGTGCAACCCCCCACCTCCAAACCAAACCAGCCCTGTGCATTAAAACACAGCAGAGAGTTGCATTGTTACCAGACTATGTGACGGTATGTCACTTTGCCATCAGAGTCTATCATACTTTATAGTGCTCTGGTTCTTTTACACAGCTTTGGCCTTAACGAGAAATATTGTCACATTTTAATATTCTGAGGTCTTGTGGCATGAGATCTTGTCAAACCGCTAGTACTGTCAAGCTTATACCATAGCCACTTGCCAACTTCCCTATAAGTCATCTTTCCTCCTCCTACATTAGCTTATTAGGCTTTCCAGATTCATGCAAAATATGATACACACTTTAAGATATGTGTTCCTGCTCCTCACTGACATGCTATTTATCCTGTGGATCTTTTGATTGCTGTTGGTGGTTACAGAAATAGCTGTAGGTCCAAGCTTTTTAGCTCAGGTTCAGCTGTTGGTGTCTTAAGCTCCAGTTTAACACTGGCACATTCATTTAGAACAGCAAACAAACACCTTTCACCCAATCACAGTGCAGAATTTTTTTAATTTCTTAATGAAATACCCTTTGAAGTAATGCTTGGTCACTACTAGAAATAGTAAGATAGTTATTCTAAAGATTGCACCTCTTAAAGACACTCTTTAAGTCATTCCTTAAACTTTTTCTCTTCTCATTTTAGTTTTGAAAAGGTCAAAACTCTTTGAATGCAGAGTATCGCTCTTACTATAGACCCATATACATTGCTTCAACGAGCAGAAAAATCCAGAGCTTGACTGGCCTGTATTTCTTGTTACGGTTGCTAAACTATGATTAAGCAATAACAGCTCAGGGAGAGGTTTAGCCAGGGGTCAATTCACACCAAACACACCTCAAAAGGAAAAAAAAAAAACAACTAACAAAGAGTAAAACAGTTATATGAACATCACCTCTTGATCTTACCTTGAAATCACAAATGCATGTCACCATGTTCCCAATTCTTAGACACTCCCCATCAAACTTGCATGTGTTGGTATCGCATAAGAACAGATCTGTGTCCCGGTCATCATAACCTAGAGGAACAAAGCCAACAAGAGACATCAGTGACTGTTTCTCTGTTCAGCCCTCAAGCAACTTTAACATGAGCCCCACTCAGGGTCATTCATAATAAGTATGTGGCATTAGTCACTGCCCCCAGAGCACGGTACACTCTTTGATCACATGGTGTGCACTTTAAAAACAATGCTTGCACACATCCTTGTTGTTTGTTGCCAAAATGATAAAATACATTTCAAAAACTAGTCTCTGGACTCTAGTGGAGGAGTAAACAAAAGACATTTCTTCACTTCTGATGTTATTGGTGGGAGCTGTTTTTAAGGTCAGAACAAAAATCTCCCATTGGCATTCAACAGATAGCAACTATAAAGCATAGCATATGATTAATTTCATGCCCTGTATGAAAGCATCTGGATTCATCATGTTTCTACACCCACTAATTCAGGTTTTCCCTCTAACAGTAGCTTGTGTACAATGAGGACAACTCCTAGAGCATTGTCCTGAAAAAGCAAGCCTGGGATACATCCGGTTCAGGCTGCACTAAGGATCCAAAATGAGTCCAACACACCAGCCTGAGTCAGATCAAAGAGTTACATGAGCATGAGAGGGAACACTGAGGTCAGTGCTATTAGTCTATCCAAAAAGCAGTGCCATACATGTAGGCTTTTGCATTTTAAACTCCAGCTGACACTGAGCTGGAAATGTTACTGATTATAATTTATCCTTTCCATGCCATCCGCAGCATGAAGCTGTGCTGCCACAGTATAAATACTCTAATATCCACAGTAATTAAACACCTTTCACCCAATCACAGTGCGAGCCCCGAGCGTGGGGTGGCTGTGGCTTACGAGGTAGGGCAGTCGTCTTCTAACCAGCAAGTTGGTGGTTCGACTCCCGGTCTCCCCGCATGCCTAAGTGTCCCTGAGCAAGACACTGAACCCCAAATTGCTCCCGGTGGTTCGACTGGCGCCAGTGTGCGGCAGCCTCTCGTCATCGGTGTGTGAATGTGTGTGTGAATGGGTGAATGGTGTATAATCTCCTGTAAAGCGCTTTGGCCAGTGTAACACACTGTGAGAAAGCGCTATATAAAATACAGTCCATTTACCATTTACCATTTACCATTTAAAAATAAGAAATAACCTGAAAGCAGAAAAGAATACAGAATTGTGCAAATAGATTGGTTAATATGACCCACTGATTAGTGTAATTAACTGAAACTTCGATAAAGTTTTCCTTCATTTGTGGGTTTGCAGCCAGTTTGGGGCTTTGTAGCCTTAAACATTTTTAAAAAAGGTTTAAGTTTTAATGAAGCAATTAATAAGACAAATACTGTTAAGAGAAGAAGAGACTGAAGTCGGGAAAGCAGGATAAAATTGGAATTTAAAACTGAGAATGAGCATCAAAGATGCTCATCTTTGATGCTCAGAGACAAACAATGTTGGGATTTGCTCCTTTATTTATTACCCTTCATGCTCTGCAGTCTTATGGAAAATTGCTTTATTGTGAAAGCTAAACATGCAAAGTGTTTGAGACCAAGTGAATATGCATTTAACATGTCACGGTCACATTTAACACCTATGTAGTGCATGTGCTTTTTTAATGACAAATTTTGTTCCTAAGCACCTTCGAAAAACACACCTGTTCTTCCAGGTGATGCAGTGCAAACATCTCTTAAATAAATGAATTCTGGTCATTTCAATTCATCTTATTTTACCAGACAATTCTGATGTGAACAGAAATCTCCTAAATAAGAGCTTAACCAGTCTCAAACAGTTATCCTTTTTTGACATGCCATCCTCTGCAGGGAATCTCAGGGTTAGCTTGCTAACAACTCTACTGGAGCAGATAAGATGTCACTGTCGGGCTCATGGATGTCTTCTTGTTACACTTACAAACCACCACCCCGGCATGTAGCTCTGTGTTTCACTCACACTTGATCAAGGTTTTAACATCGTTCAAATCCCTGCACTCAAATAACATCCACCAACCAATCTCCATCTGCAGAAGCACTATTGAAAGCATCTAAAAACTGTAATTCACAGTTTACTGTATGAGTGATACACTTCCAGGCACCCAGAAGAACACCATGAAACCATATCTTTTTAATCTGTCTATTCTTAAACTCACAAATGTTATATTCTGGTAAAAAGTTTGTGAAACTCTAAATTAACTCTATAAAACTTTAGAAACTTTAAGGCTTTTTTTTTTCCTTAGAAAGAAGGAATGAAATTTTCTCAGTGTACTCAAGTCTGGACTGTACCATCCATGTTATGAGGCACATAGTATATAGTATCATATAATAATGGACACTCAGCATCTTCCGTAACTTAGCTGTAATCACTAAGGCCCCTATCTACTTTTCACAGCCCTCCTTGGCATGGAACAGCCTATCTGCCCCATGGAAGATAAGCCCGTGCTAAAATGAACCTGCTATTTGCCCGTGTGCTTGCTGTGCGAATGTGCAATAATCGAGCCAACAGTGACATGTAAGGTCTTGAAACTTGAAGTGTATGGATGGAATAAAGCCTTCAGCCTGTAGAGCAATACGAGGCAATCTGGAAAGCCACAAGAAGAAACAAAAACAGGAAACAAAAAACAAAAACAGCTGGCACCCAGGCATGTTGATGATACTGGAGAGAAGCAGCATTATGATGACAATCATACTACGGGCTACTTATATACAAACAACTGGAAGATATCAGATCTTTTTCAGGTCAGCTGGTAGACTCTTAGTAAAATCACTTCAAACCATATATTAGCTTTTTCTCTTTAAAATAAATCAAATAAATCAACCAATAAACATTTTAAAATCAAACAGAGAATAATGCGGCTCCTCCTCATGCCTAAACTGCCTTCTTTACCACAAAATAGATGTGAAGCTTGAACATCAGGGGCCATTGGGCGAGAAGAAAACGTTTCACTTGAAAACAATAACTTGGTCTCTGGGATTTGTTTACAAGACTGTAGTAGCTGGTTCAAAAACACTCCAGTCTGTGCAGTCGAAGCAGGCCAGCAGCTCAGCCTTAGCCTCCCTGGTCCACTTCCTCTCTGTTGTGGTCACAGGCTTAGCAGTTTTTACTTTCTGCTTGTAGGTCAGGAGGAGATGAATAAGGCAGTGGTCAGAGAGTCCCAGGGCTGGTCAAGGGACTGAGTGGTAGGCGTCTTTTAAGACAGTGTAACAATGGTCTAGTGTATTTTTGTCTGACATGCTGCCTGTGTCTTGGCACATTGTGGCTGGTGAAGTCACCTAAGACAATGAGTAGAGAGTCTGTGTGCATCTGTCTCAACAAAGGACAGCGCTGCTGATCGTGAGGAGTCCAAGTTGGTATGGTTGATGAGTAGCAGTTCATCCATTTTGTTGACAAGGGAGCAGAGGTTCATTAGATGGATAGCTGGTAGCATGACTAAAGCTCCGGCTCTCCGCCGTCTGTGTTGCTTCTGGCAGGTCACCACTATCACTGCCACCCTGCCGAAGTCCAAACAACAGAGGCAAAAGTGTCCAAAGCGAGTTGTCTGATGTCCAGGAGCTTGTCTCTGGTGTAGGTAATCCAAGACGGGTGGCAACAAAAATGTCAAAAACAACAAAACCCAACAAAGCACAGATCATCACCTGATCACCTGAACTACTCGGACCACTTATCTCTGCCACCCGCTTTTTGCACAATCCGCTATAGAAAACCTGACTCCAAGAAGTTTCTGCTGTTACGGCTTATAAAAAATGTAACATATTCACTTTCCAAGGCACAATTTGCATGAAGCCTTAAGAAAAAAACATTTTGTGATTAACCCAAATATCTCATTAATATTTTTTTAACATTTAATCAACATTACACCCGACTCTACATCATCATTAAAGTAACTGCTGGCAGACACTGGATAGCATCTTAGACTTAAATCTCCCTCTCTCTTAAGCTGGGTTCTGTCCGGAGCCCAAGTTACGCGGAGTCAGAGGCCAGGAAACTTACACTTCCTGCTCCTGCGCTGCCGCTCCAGGAGGAGATTACAGTCAACTAAATAATTAACGAAAACAAGCTGGCAAACATCAAATATTGAAAAGGTAATGTTTATATGCTAACGATTAAGATGGCAAGCAAAGCACTTACTTGTCTAAAAGAGAGAGCTTGAGAGCCAAATGCATCTCCTCCTACCTATCTGGAATTTCACAACAATAAGAAGAACAAGGAGTCCTTCCCTCCTGTTTTAAGCATTGTGCTGATCAATATTCAAGTAGACTAAATTAATAATGAAGGCTGAACAACCACAGCGGTGAGACATCATTTCGTGACCTCTCTCATGTTGAGGGCCTTTTTTCCCCTTTTGCAACAGGTTTTTAAATGTTTGTCATGGAGGGCATTATAGTTCAGTACCCATTATGGTAGCTTATTAAAAGGATGAATAGTTTTACAGACTCACTTCACAGCCAGGACAAGGTACTTCTAAGGTGTTTCACATGTGAAAAAATAAAGTGTTTTCATTTAAAAGAATTTTTTAAAAGCCAGTTATCACTTTGTAATATGTGATCTTTTTGATTAGACCTCAACAACTCTGCCTATTGTTAGAAATGACAATAATAGTTTTATTAATCATAAATCTGCTTCCTATCAGTGGTGTGGAACCTGTATGCAAGACCCCTCTGTTCAAATCTTGAAAGCAGATGGCCAGTCCTCTCCAGATTACTGGTCATTTACTGTGCTTGATGGGATTTACTGGGGATTTTGCATATTCTGCACTTATCCCTGTCACATCAGCTATCAAAGCATCACATGGCCTTTCACAGGGAGCAACAGCAGGGGCATTCAGGCAAAGAAAGGACTGTAAATTCTTCACAGAAATTCCCCCAGGAGAGCTAAAGTATAGCCTGAAGTAAAGAAATTGTCAGTAGACATCCATACAGTACCACCTTTGCAGTACTGTGAAAAACTATTTTAAGTCTCATGAAGATGAAACTGACTGCAACTGGCACTTGGGGAGGTGTTCAACCAGAGATGAATATTAACATTCTGAGCATCAACTTGTTTTTAATATGGACAAATAAAATGCCAAAACGAGCTGATATTTGGCAAAAGTCTGCCGGTCCACCTATTAAAGATAACAGAGAATTCGCTCATTTATTCTAACTGATACAAGCCAAAAATTACAGGCAACATGCCACCATTGGTTTGACTGTGATAATTAGAAAAAAAAAAGTTATCTACACAGTTAACTGGCCTGGATAAATTTAAAAACCTGCCCTGTTTTCTTTAGAGTCAGTTTTCCATGGTCACTGGCAGGAAAATAATGCAACACCGACATGTGCTCATGTAGGTAAACTCTCAGCCCACATTCCTAAAGATTTGGCTATTTCTATACAAGCAATGGATCAAACAAGTATGTGATGAAGCCACAGATGACTGTGACTGAGTTCCCTGCAACTGTACACAGTGTTTTAGCTCATTGCCTTGGTCATTGCCTGTACTGTTTATTTGGCGTCCATCACTGTGGGCTGTGCTGTTTCCAGATGCAGCAGGCAGCTGCTCTTAGCGAAAACACCTTGATAAACCATGATGTACTCACTGCCCAGTATTAAACAAACAAAGTTAGTGGAACATTTATCTGCTAAAGAGCCAGATATTCCCCTCTGGAGCTGCTGGATACCAAACAGAGCCATAACAAAGACAGTACTGGAACTATATTCATCAGGTGGACACAATCACAACCTGAAATGAATGCTAATGGTGCCACGTGGTGTGGACTATCAATTTGATCAGTTAATCCTAATTTCAGTAATAAATTGTCAGTGTAGTGTCTATAACTTGTTTCACTTCATTTTTTATCTCTTCATAATGTTTGCACTACTCATGATTTTTTTTTATCTGTTAGTTTGTTTGATTTTATGCATTTATGTATTTTTCTATTCCTGTTTTATAAATTCCACTGATTTTCTTTTGCTTGTTGATTTCCTGCTTATGCTTTTATTGTGAAGCATCTTGTGACTTCTGCATTGGAAAGTGCTAAACAAATATGCCTTCACCTGCCACTGTGAAGCTGCTGTGGCCAAGAACGGACGCCAACCAAACAGAATGGCAACCAAGTTTGTTTTTGTCCTTCTCTTTTCTTCCATGGAGCAGAACCATATTCCGTACTCATCCAAGGGCAGCACTGCTGAAACCGGTACCCAGCTGTTATGACACTACCGCTCATAATTATCCGTGTCTTAGCAGTGAAGTGACACTGAACTCATCACCAAACTGATTTTCAGCCTGTGTTATTCTCCCTGGACTGAAAACTGTCATACAGCAGTCACTGTTGAAGTGTGTACTACACAGGAGCTAGTGGATAAAGTAATTAAGCACAGCAGTGTTTGTCTTATAATTACCATTATTATTGTTGCTATTAGTGAAAGGGGTTTATCTGTTTTTCATGGTAGACCACATGTCACATGTCATGTTCATTTAAATCAATGTTGAGTGCATGTGTGTGCATGTGAGTGTTTGTGCATTATGCTCAGTATATGCACTTAAGCCTCCTCAAGGCGTGTTAGATAAAAGCCTTCGCTGAAATGCATGAGAGTGTGTCAGGAAGTGGAGAGGTAGGCAAGTGTGTAGCCTTTGGACAGGGTGGGTACCATTATCAGTCATTACAAGCAAATCATCACCACTATCAACAGCAGCATCACAAACTGATCCTCCAGCACAACACAGAATGTGACATGAGGTGCTATATTTAAACAGATGTGCTACTTCATCACTTCTCTTGGCATTTTCTGTGCATTCTTGAAGAAAAACTATAATAAACTGAATTCGCTGAACTCTCTCCAAAGCTTCATTTTAAAAACAATAAAATAAAATTAAAAATGGCCCAAATGTTTTACTTCACACTAATAAAATACTTCTTATCTCACAGGGTATGTGTTTTTTACTTCATCTATTTCATTAGCCTTTTATCATAATACAATTTATTTTGAAAACTTTCATATCCAAATAAAGTCCCTCCTGGAATTTAGTCTGTGGCAAGTCAGCCGGAGTTGGTATGTCCTTAGTTTACATGTCACTATAAAGAACATTTCTATCACACAAATATTTCCTCTTTCTTTTTATTAAGATGCAATCGAAGTATAACCTGCTGGTATTTCGTTTCTGGCTGCAAACGAAATGACTCCATATTGATGTGTGGCTGTTATGAGCTATAATATCAATACTGCTGCTGCCCATGACTGTGGCATCGGCTTGGAGCTATTTTAGGGGTTCAGACTTGGGCAGGCGACAGGGGAAATATATGGCGGCACAGTCGGCTGATTTACACAGGGAGGCGAGGCGCTGTGCTCTGCAGCCCGGTCCGCTCTGGGCACCGAGGAGAGAAACAACTTTAAAGCTCGATGGCCTATAAAAGAAAAGAGAACATTTCTATTTAAAGTGAAACTTGACGAAGCCCTCGTGCCAAACAAGCCTATAAAACTAGATTTATGATATATATCCAAAATTTGGGGAATTAAATCCAACGCCCAAAGTGAGCTGTAAGCCCAGATGACACACCAGAGAGCTGACCAGTGGTATTTATGTTCAAGTTACACAGATACCGCATAAAGTATTTTGACTTAAGCCAGTGCCTGTAGCCTAAAACTGACAGAGTTTGGATTATTATTGTGGCGCAGATCATGGCATTCTGGCGACAGTCTTCCCTATCATTCCCTGCTTTCTGTGTCTTTGAAAGAATCCTGGCTGTTGCTCTTTTTACTCTGTGTCGAATCGAAATCGCTAGCCCGCCTGCCAGGTGGTTATTCAGACCTGATCACGGTGCGTGCCTTGCTCTCATGCTCCGACACAAACTCAACACGACTAAATGCGCATCAAGCAGCCCCAAAGTCCGCATCCCCTCATCATGGGGCTTTAAAATGCTCAGCAGGTATCTGCAGCCCAAATGCCACACAGCACCAGCGCTAAACCCATGGTTACTGGACACAAACACCGAGCCACAACAGTAAGAATGAGGCGTCGCTTATGGGAGCTTTTCTGAACTTTGATTGTTTAAATGCAGCTGGTTTAGGCTACTAGTCTTCTATGCTTAACTTGGAGGGCAGATGTAGACAAAGCACTAACAGAAGCCGGAGAGAGACTTTAACTCTGCCTTCATAAAATGACTCTTACCGGAGCAGTTCCAGCCGGTCGGCGTCTGGCAGTCGCTGAGGGAGGAAGGGAATGCGCGCAGCTGCTCCACAGGTAAAGTGGTGAGAAACGAGACAAGTGTGATCCTGAGCCAGCCTCCTGCCGTGGTGCTCCACTGGCGCAGCCGTCGGGGCTCCTCGAGCGGTGCCTGCGCCGCCACGGACAGACCCATATCTCACTGGCCCCGACAACACAGGCGAGGTGAGAAAGAGACGCAGACGCGCACCGACAATTCCAATCCCGACAGCTTCAGCGGGGCGCCTAGCGACCAACAGCAGACCATTTTCCGAGCGACACCGCGCGCCCCATGGAGCAGTGCCCCGTGTAGCCTGACGAAATGGGTTCCGCCCGATCCAAGGGAGGCTGCTGCAATAAGAAGAGACTACTGGGGGAAACTGCCGAGGATTTAGTGAGCGATGAGGGAGGTCGTGTGGGATGGAGTCGGGTGAAAAAAGTTAGCCAGGCAGGCGAGAAGACTTACGAGGCGAGGGGGATGCTCAAGGATGAGGAGAAGGGAGGAAAATGAGAAAGGAAAAAGAGGGTGATACAGAAGAGGCAATAAAAGTGGTATAGTGAGAGGATGCAGCCAGAGTATCCCACAGAAAGGGTTTTGAGACGACGGCAATTGTGTAATTGTATCCACGGGTGAAACGAGCAGCTGTCCTCCACGAGCGGAGCGGTCCTCCTGTTTACTTTGCATGTGGTGCGTTCAGAGCCGCGAGGAGTTGCTCTCTCTCCCTCTCTCTCTCTCTCTCTCTCCTCTCTCCCCCTTCTCTCCCGCAGCTGGTTATTATCCCGTGGCCTCTCTCTCCCTCTCTCTCTCTCTCTCTCTCCTCTCTCCCCCTTCTCTCCAGCAGCTGGTTATGATCACGTGGCGTAATGCGGGGGGTGCTCCTCAGTAATAATTGGAATATGTTACTGGAGGAGCAGTGAAAAGGGCACACGAGAGGAAGACCAATAAAAAAGGAAAAAAGAAAGCTAAGAAAGACAGAGTTCCTCAGGCCTGGTCCAGTCAGTCGGTGATGGTTACACCACGGATAGGCAGCAGGAGGATGCACTGCCTTTATAATTGGCCAGGAGCATTTAAAAAGTCTGCAGGAATCGATTCGTCCAGCCTCGCTTGGGATAATTGCTCCGCTTTGAAACGACACTGACACTATTTCTGGGTCTCTGTCTCCAGGCAATCCAAAGAGACCTCAATATTATTCAAATCTTTTGGACGCGCTCAGGCGGGGCAGGATGCGGCTAGTAACTGACGCGCATTCGGATGAAAGCAGTGCAACATGTGCACGAATTAAAGAGGTAACGTCCAACATGAGGTTGAGAACACTCACCCTCTTTGAACCAAGGAAATTGGAAATCATGCGCATGGGAAAGCCCTACTGAGAAAACAAAGGGGTTTCTGTCAAGGCTTGTCACGCTGCAGACACTTGACCTCATGATGTCAATGAAGCAAAACTGCAGTTGCGGGTAAACAAACCTTTTATTGCTTTTCAATGACTTAAAGATCATTACATGGGAATCTGGTGTGCAGATAACACCTGGGAGTAGTCAAACAAAGTACATTCGGGTGTGGGATGGTGGCGGAGGGATTATTAAATGTTAGTACTAATGACTTTCAATTCGAACACAAGTCACTCCATCAACAATCTCCTGTGTGAACCACCTCAGGAATATCTTGCTTAAGTTGCACACCAGTATAATTTTACATTGACTGTAAACATCTTGTCATGCCTAGATGGTTAAACAATCAATAGATTGGTGTACATACTGCTGAAGTTATTAAGAATTATCACTCCACTTTGCAGTCCTACAGGGCTTTTACGACTCCTTTCACTTTGCTATTTTTGGTCTTACTGCCATTTACAAAATACAGTAAGTGAGTGCATGAGTCACTTTTTTAAAAACTTGCATAGGCAGCTATTTCCAGCGAAAAGTGATCAACCCTCACTTGATGCTGCAACAAGCTATAAACACAACACTGATATATTGTATTCTTTTAGTCTTTTAGACTTTACCCTGCCAGTTCCCCAGTACAAAGTCCCCATAAGGTGGAATGAGCTGGAACGAGCCCGGGTGGGAATACAGCAGCTTAAGGTCCAGAGGATTCACATGGAGTTAGTGGTTGTGTTGATGACGTTTTACCATGTGACCGGCGGGAAACTGGAAGAATACAAACATCCGACGGTGAAGAAAAACAGTGAAGAATGAAAATATCTAACTGAAGACACAACGAGATTAATGCATACAGTGCCTTGTGAAAGTATTCGGCCCCCTTGAACTTTGCAACCTTTTGCCACATTTCAGGCTTCAAACATAAAGATATAAAACTGTAATTTTTTGTGAAGAATCAACAACAAGTGGGACACAATCATGAAGTGGAACGAAATTTATTGGATATTTCAAACTTTTCTAACAAATAAAAAACTGAAAAATTGGGCGTGCAAAATTATTCAGCCCCCTTAAGTTAATACTTTGTAGCGCCACCTTTTGCTGCGATTACAGCTGTAAGTCACTTGGGGTATGTCTCTATCAGTTTTGCACATCAAGAGACTGAAATTTTTGCCCATTCCGCCTTGCAAAACAGCTCGAGCTCAGTGAGGTTGGATAGAGAGCGTTTGTGAACAGCAGTTTTCAGTTCTTCCCACAGATTCTCGATTGGATTCAGGTCTGGACTTTGACTTGGCCATTCTAACACCTGGATATGTTTATTTGTGAACCATTCCATTGTAGATTTTGCTTTATGTTTTGAATCATTGTCTTGTTGGAAGACAAATCTCCATCCCAGTCTCAGGTCTTTTGCAGACTCCATCAGGTTTCCTTCCAGAATAGTCCTGTATTTGGCTCCATCCATCTTCCCATCAATTTTAACCATCTTCCCTGTCCCTGCTGAAGAAAAGCAGGCCCAAACCAGGATGCTGCCACCACCATGTTTGACAGTGGGGATGGTGTGTTCAGGGTGATGAGCTGTGTTGCTTTTACGCCAAACATAACGTTTTGCATTGTTGCCAAAAAGTTCGATTTTGGTTTCATCTGACCAGAGCACCTTCTTCCACATGTTTGGTGTGTCTCCCAGGTGGCTTGTGGCAAACTTTAAACGACACTTTTTATGGATATCTTTAAGAAATGGCTTTCTTCTTGCCACTCTTCCATAAAGGCCAGATTTGTGCAGTATACGACTGATTGTTGTCCTATGGACAGAGTCTCCCACCTCAGCTGTAGATCTCTGCAGTTCATCCAGAGTGATCATGGGCCTCTTGGCTGCATCTCTGATCAGTCTTCTCCTTGTATGAGCTGAAAGTTTAGAGGGACGGCCAGGTCTTGGTAGATTTGCAGTGGTCTGATACTCCTTCCATTTCAATATTATCACTTGCACAGTGCTCCTTGGGATGTTTAAAGCTTGGGAAATCTTTTTGTATCCAAATCCGGCTTTAAACTTCTCCACAACAGTATCTCGGACCTGCCTGGTGTGTTCCTTGTTCTTCATGATGCTCTCTGCGCTTTAAACGGACCTCTGAGACTATCACAGTGCAGGTGCATTTATACGGAGACTTGATTACACACAGGTGGATTCTATTTATCATCATTAGTCATTTAGGTCAACATTGGATCATTCAGAGATCCTCACTGAACTTCTGGAGAGAGTTTGCTGCACTGAAAGTAAAGGGGCTGAATAATTTTGCACGCCCAATTATTCAGTTTTTTATTTGTTAAAAAAGTTTGAAATATCCAATAAATTTCGTTCCACTTCATGATTGTGTCCCACTTGTTGTTGATTCTTCACAAAAAATTACAGTTTTATATCTTTAATATCTCCTTTTGTGTGCTCCATATGTGAAAGGGCAACTCTGGACAAAGTCCGGGCCTGATTCTGTGGACATAGTCTGGAAATCCTGCATGAAAATGGCTTATGTAACTTAAATTAACACTGGCATGAAACTCCAAATCAGCCCACTCTGCTCTGCCCAGCACTCCCAGTCCCTGCTCTGCCCAGCTCTTTGCCATTATGAAATTACAACAAATGAGAATCCAACAAAACTCACTGATCAAGCAGAGATAATTGAAAACCTCTGATTGTTTTGAGAGGTCTGTCCCACTCTAAATCTTTTAGAACCTAATGTCTCTGCACTGCTGCCAGTGCTGTTCAATGAGCCTGGGTCACAGAAGGCTGTGACATCACCTCTCCACACTAAAAAGACAATCATTTTCTATAGTAACAGTATTTTCAACAATTTCCATACAGTGATGCAGATGTTTCCCTGATGTGTTTTTCATCATTTTTGAACAACAACAGGGATCTACTGCACAGATGAACCAACTAATCCAAGACTGACAGCTGAAAGACATTAATTGTGAGTAGAAGTAACAATTTGTCTGTTATAGTCTCTGTATGGAGATTGCTGGAAATACTATTATTATAAAAATATGGCCTGATCCTTTAAGTTTTGAAGCATATTTCTACAAAAAAAAAACCTTGAAAAAAGCTACATACCATAGCTTTAAGTACAAATGTTTAAGTATGTCAGTTTTATCTGGCAGGTGGCATGGTGGAACAGTGGTTAGCACTGTCACCTCACAGCAAGAAGGTTCTGCATTCAAGCCACGACTGACACAGGGCCCTTCTGTGTAGAGTTTGTGTGTTCTCCCTGTGCCTGTGTGGGTTCTGTCCGGGTACTCCGGCTTCTTCCCACAGTCCAAAGACATGCAGTTTAGGTTGACTGGTGACTCTAAATTACCCATAGGAGTGAATCTTTTGATTTGGTGGATATAATGGTGGTATGGTCATTTGATGGATAGAGTTTTCTTAGTTGCCATGGAGATTGTTCAGTTTTCATCGTGTGACCTCATTTTGGTCATTGTATTTATGGGGCAGACTATAACTCCATCCGCTGATAAAGGCCACAAGATGCGACTGAAAACGCAGAAAGACTTCCGTTTGTATGTGGACCTTAGCTGCGATCCAGGTGTTAGAACAGGCTAGCCATTAATTATAGTGTCCACTTGCTGAAGTGCCCTTGATCGACACACTGAATCCTTAATTCCTTGTGAAAAGCTTTTTCCAAATTAATGTGTGCAGTCTGTAATTTTGTCAGGCAAAATCAAAGTGATTACAGCAACAGACATTGAATCATGAGCTTACAACTATGACAAGCAGGAGGAAAGAAAAAGGCTAACTAGCAGAGTGGTGGCAAGGCAACCCAGAGCTACTGTACCTTTCCTACTGCTGCTAATTTGGATTTCAAAGCAAGGCCTCTCTCTTTGCTTCCAGCAGTCTTCATTTGTCCACTGAAGCATTAGAGCTTACTGTACAGCTGCCGCTTTCCAGGCAACCCTGTGTGTAATCGAGTGTGTGAAACAGGAATACAACAGGAGAAATAAGAGTAAAATATGACAGTTTTACTACAGTGAAGTGAGAAGTCGGTCTTTTAAAAGAAGCGTGTGCATTTTCTTCCAGCAGAAAAGCTGTGAAGCTTTAGACCATGCGTACATTAGTGACACTTGTAACACCACCACCAAACTTCTATTGACTGAGTCATCCTAATTCTTGGCAGAGAGGGAAGAACACAGCTTGCCACCATTGTGGTTTTTGAGCAATCACCAATGGGGCCAAAGTGTCTATTTGGACTAGTTTCCTAGTGGGCAGCTTTAACTGTTTTGGCTCATGTAGTGCATTTCACTACTGGGGTAAAAAAAACACAAAACTATCAACTGAGGCCTGTGACACTGAAGACTAGCCCAGCTCATCCAGTATGTTTGAAGTGGAGGAAGC